AGGGGGGAGAGGGGGATGAGAAATCTTTAATGGGTTTTCATTAAATTTTGTTGTCGAGTTTTGAAAAGTGATGATGATCCTGTGTGAGATTGATTCCTGGCTCCTGGAGGCCATGGATCACAATTTGAATTTTTGGCAGGTCTGATTGACGGGGCCTATCATTATCAGTGGGATAAATACCGCAGAATTAGAGCAAGAAATATGAAAATTCTTCTCCGATGCAAATATCTCGTGATTCAACCAATGGTCAGTCTCATGATTGGTTTTTAATCACCCCCCAGAGGCTGGATTTTTACTGGTGACCAAACCAATTGGTTTTCCAAGCCGGGGCCAATTTTCAAGCCGATACAGGCCGGTAGAGATAAACTTTTTTATTAATAATTTATGCTGAATATGCATGGATGGAGGGCATGAGAACATTTTACAAATTGGACCCAATCATAAACCAATTTTTCTAAAAAACATTCAGTGATTGATTGAATATAATTCAGTCGGCTTCCTTCCTTCCTTCCTTCCTTCCTTCCTTCCTTCCTTCCTTCCTTCCTTCCTCGCTGAGTAGTATGGCTAAAATGGTGAACGCCAAACACCTTCTCTGTTCTATTCTAAAACTATCATGGCTATCCCTCTAAACCCTTCTCCTCCCCTTTCTATCTCTACCCCCCCCCCCCTCCACCATGGTAAAATGAGTATAATGTAAGTATATTAGGAACAAATTTACTGGGGGTTGGATTATGCAAAACGATTAGGAAAAGGGGGGGGATAAAAAATAATAAGGAGGGGAATTATGGAAATTAAAGGGGAATGTAACTGAAAAGTTATTATGGAAAAAAATAAAAGAAGAATGAAAATTCTTTTAAGAGTATTAAAATAAATGTTTTTAGCAAATAAATTGAGGATTTTTTATTTTGATGCCCTCTGTGTGATATCCATATTTAAATATATTATTTAAATCCAGTGAATAGATATCATTTCATTGTTATCTGTAACATTATGTAAAAGCATTAAACATAAGTACATTATATATCTTCAAGCATGTAAATTCGAGATAAACTTTATATCTATCTATTAATCTATCTATCTATCTATCTATCTATCTATATATCTATCTATCTATCTATCTATCTATCTATCTATCTATCTATCTATCTATCTATCTATCTATCTATCTATCTATCTATCTATCTATCTATCTATCTATCTATCTATCTATCTATCTATCTATCTATCTATCTATCNGCAAGTTGTACAGTATACAGACTATATAGACGGTAAACCGGGACGGTACACCAAGTAAATCATTCCTGCAAGTTGTACAGTATACAGACTATATAGACGGTAAACTGGGACGGTACACCAGGTAAATCATTCCCGCAAGTTGTACAGTATACAGACTATATAGACGGTAAACTGGGACGGTACACCAGGTAAATCATTCCCGCAAGTTGTACAGTATACAGACAATATAGACGGTAAACTGCGACGGTACACCAGGTAAATCATTCCTGCAAGTTGTACAGTATACAGACTATATAGACGGTAAACAGGGACGGTACACCAGGTGAATCATTCCTGCAAGTTGTACAGTATACAGACTATATAGACGGTAAACTGGGACGGTACACCAGGTGAATCATTCCTGCAAGTTGTACAGTATGCAGACTATATAGATGGCAAACTGGGACGGTACACCAAATTAATCATCCCCATTTAGTGAGATATATAAATGCGATTGTGATCATCTTAGGGGATAGTTAAATAAATTTTAACTCTTTGTTTTTATTCCTCTCTGGACCCAACCTACCCTGTGACAAATGAAAAGGATTGTCTAGTACTACCACTGCTCTACAGGGTTTCAGTTCAAAGAAACTTGTTGCTGTTCACTAATAATCTTTGACACTTGTTGTATTTTCATTTCAAAAAGAAAAAAAACATGCTCACTCAGAAAAAAAGTTTAAAGAGGTTTTTTTAATAAAAACTTTGAAAGTGTAGAGGGGGGGGGCAATTTCCCCTTTCAAAAACCAACCCTGGTCATCATGGTTTTTTTCATATGTTGTGGAATGTCGGTTTGTCTGTGCGTACTACACAACAAGAATACGCCAGGAATGCGTCAAATCATTCGTCCCATTGACACCCAAAACAGGGATAGACAAGGTGTCCTTTTTTATGAAAAACCTTGTCAACAATTTTGAAATTTCGAGAAAAGATAATTTTTTCCATAAAGTTTTTTGTTTTTAGTCTGATTTGCCCTAGATTTTGATATTTATTTACGGATTGGTTTAAAGAAATGTCATCATCAGGTTTTTCTAGTGATTTGTAAATTCTTTACTTTTAACCATGACAAATTAGAACTCTTTTAACAATCAAATAATCAAACTTCTCAGTGACAAAGACTGCCCTTTGTTTACCAATTTAAATGATTTAAAAGGAATAGAGTCTTTGTCATAAATTCAAATTTTCTAATCCCTACATATTTGCAAGCTATTGGTATTAAACTTTTATATTTCAAATTTTATCTAAATAAACTCATAGTTGTAAGAAACATAAAATAAAAATTATAGGTTAATAACAAATTTTTATTTATTCTGTGCCTTCTTTCCCTTTTTTGCTCCCTTTCTTTAGATCGTTTATAATAATTTTAACTTTAAAAGGCAATACCCCCCCTCCCCTCCCCCTCCCCTCACCTTACCCCTGATTATTCTACTTGCAAAAGCAGATCATTTAAATTCTATGTGCCTAGAACCCCCCCATATTCAAAGAAACTCAAAATTACGCTTTTTAACCTTGGCATCATCCACACTCCGTCCTACTCCCACCAAATATTAACAGTTTATCTAGAAATTGCAATTTTCAAGTTTGTATCTTCTAAACTGTTTATTCAGGACGCAGTATGCTCCTTACACCAAAAAGATTCCCCTCAAGCTATAAATTTGTACTGCATCTAGGTTGGCCAAGGAAGTTTGATAGACAGCTTAAAAAATTTTACATTGCCCGCAAAGCACCTGGAACCCCCCCCCCTTTCTGGCATTTTTATGACATAAACCTAAAAAGGACCGAGAGTAGCGTTCCATGAACGAACTGACGTTTCAGAAATTTCCTTAAACGAACGGAAGAAACGATTATGATAAACGAACTGAAAACTATAAAAATCGAACTGAAAACTATGAATAACGAACTGAAAACTATAAAAAACGAACTGAAAACTATAAATAACGAACTGAAAACTATGAATAACGAACTGAAAACTATGAATAAACAACTGAAAACTATAAAAAAAACGAACTGAAAACTATAAATAACGAACTGAAAACCATAAATAACGAGC